TTGGAGAATACAAGATCTTGGATGACTGAGCTCACGTTGAGGACGTAATGCATGTGCAGGTTACGTGACTTGAATAAAGATGGACACTCTGAATGAGAGAAGTAGTCCGCGTCGTCTGTTTGTGTAGACAATGATATGTCCATAGAACAGAACATTACAGATAGTTATAGATAGAGAGATTTGTACCTAAACAAAACACAAGTCTAACACCAAGCGTTTAAATCAGCACTCTTAGCGATATTTTATACTTCATGCTATCTGCACAAACGATATCATATGAAAAGCTGAGAGTCCACAGATTCTATTGGTATAAGTTTCATCCCTGTGCGATCAACACTCACTGCTCTGTATGATCAATCAAAGAACATTGTCCCTTGAAAATCAATAACCGGTACATTTGACCCGTTGGTGGTTTTAGGTATTCAGCGACCTCTGGCGGTTCTAGTGTTAATGGCCAGTTCAGATTTAAATCTCTAAAAACCTTCGACTGGGAATCCTTCCGGGCCAGGAGCTTTTTTATGTTGCATGTTATTCACAGCGAGGGAGATCTCGTCTAAGGTTAATGGAGAATCAAGTTATTTTGAGACATCTGGAATAAATATGAAAGTGAGCCCCTCTCTCTTCTCAGCGGTGTTCTACGGGCTGCTGTGTCTCGCCATGGCCTTCCTCACTCACCTGATGGGAGACTCAGTGCTGCAGGTAAACACAATAGATAACTGAATGTTTACTTTGTTTATTTGTTTGTTTACACGTCTTCCTGTCCGGCCGGCAGGTGGCTCTGAAGATCTTCGGGATGGTTGGAGGTCCGGTTCTGGGTCTGTTTTGTCTCGGGATGTTCTTCCCCTGGGCCAACTCCACCGTGAGTCACACTGACACTTATTCATCTAATCATCTATTTAAATTACATTAATCATCTGTTTACATTGAATTGTATTTATTTATTTTAAATCAATTCAATTATTTATTTATTTTAATTATCTTTTATTTATGAATGTATTCATTTCTTCATCTTTTAAATTATTTATTTATCATACATTTTTTACTTATCTTGATTATTTAATTATTTCTCTTTTTTCTATTTATTTGTTAATTAATTGATTAATTAATTTGAATATGTAATTATTATTGAAGCGCCTTTCCTGCTAAGATGCAATACCATTTACCGTGTGTGTGTGTGTGTGTGGTGTGTGTGTGTGTGTGTGTGTGTGTGTGTGTGTGTGTGTGTGTGTGTGTGTGTGTGTGTGTGTGTGTGTGTGTGTGTGTGTGTGTGTGTGTGTGTGTGTGTGTGTGTGTGTGTGTGTGTGTGTGTGTGTGTGTGTGTGTGTGTGTGGTGTGTGTGTGTGTGTGTGTGTGTGTGTGTGTGTGTGTGTGTGTGTGTGTGTGTGTGTGTGTGTGTGTGTGTGTGTGTGTGTGTGTTGTGTGTGTGTGTGTGTGTGTGTGTGTGTGTGTGTGTGTGTGTGTGTGTGTGTGTGTGTGTGTGTGTGTGTGTGTGTGTGTGTGAAAAACAGAGGTCTGTGATGTATTTTGTGAAACAAAAGAACAGCTAAATAAATGCAACGGCCTCCCAAGAAGAGCTCGCCTCTCTCCAGTCATTAAGCTAAAGTGGGGTATTGAACCTGAAGCTTGTTGAGTGTGTGTGTGTGTGGCCTCTTTAAGTCTGGCTCTCCTGTGCTCCAGGGGGCGCTGGCTGGTCTGGGGTCAGCTCTGGCTCTGGTCTGCTGGGTCGGCGTCGGCAGCATCGTGACCCGAGTCTCTGGAGCAAAGCCTCTGCCTCCGAGCTGCAGAGCTGCAAACACAACGTTTAACCTGCAGGGGGCGCTGTGGAACATCACTGTGAGGTAACAGCGCTTCTGTTACGGCCCGTCCACACTACAGCTTCAAAAAAAGCTTGGAGCTGGGCGTGTCTGAAGCTCGACCAACAACCAATCACATGAATCTCCCGCCCCTGACACACAAGCAGCGGTTTGATTGGCTAGAGCTTGCACTGGCATATGATTTGATTGGCTGACGCTTCCACCGAAAGCTTCAGAAGCTTCGAAAGTTGAACATTGCTCAACTTTTGCAGCCAAACGCCAGGAAAGCTCCGCTCTGCTTCCCACAATGCAGTTCGGCGAAAAGTGGCGTCACCCCATTCAAAGTGAATGGGCAGACGTGTTGGAAGCTTCAACGCACGCCGCTGTGTGGACGGGCCGTTAGTGTGGTGGTGCAGCAACGATGCATCATGGGAGTTGTAGTCTTCAGCAGCTTCAGTGTTGTTGTACATATGACTTTTTATCCATGTTATCATCATGTATTTGTTAAATTATAATCAACTATGAAAGTTATTTCCATTTAAATCAAGAGAAACTAAAACATCTCGGTCACGGATTCTGTCATTTATGGGTTTTCTTCTTAGTTTTTTAATCTTTTAGGATAAAATAAGATGAGGAACTTTATTTATCCCCTTGAGGAAATTCAGGCGTTTACAAATTAAAATAATAAAACAGAAAAAATAAAGTGACTATTGAAACAAATCACAGCAAAAAGTTGAGTTTAAGGATTATAATCTAACAAATACACATATTTTAAAAAGATGAAAATAACTAAAAAAGCACCAGGATGTAAAACATTAGGAAACACTTTATATTAAGGTACACAAATTCACCATCAGCTCGTTGTTCATTAACGTGCTTATTAGCAGTATATTGGCTCTTTATTAGTCGTTATAAAACACTTATTAATGCCTTATTCTACATGTACTAAACCATTAGTTGAGAGTTTCTCCTCAATAACCCTCGAATGAGTGCTGATTTATTGCAAGTGAGGAAGTTGTTGAGTTTTGGTCTTAATAAATAGAACCTGGAGGACCACCGAGCTGCTCAAACTAGACAGGGATCAAACTGAGCTCATGGCTGTGGCCCCCAAGGCACGGCTCGGGAAGGTTGGAGATCTGCTCCTCAGCATCGACGGTTCCATCATCTCCCCGTCCCCTCAGGTCCGCCAGATTCAACCCTTTCATTTCAGAACCACATCAAGTCACTTTCAAAATCAGCCTTCTTCCACCTCAGAAATATATCCAGACTCCGGCCATCACTGTCCGACTCTGTTGCTGAGAAGCTGATACGTTGTTTCATTAGCTCCCGCCTGGACTACTGCAACGGACTCCTGCCCGGGGTTCCCAGCAGAACCCTGGACCGGCTCCAGTACATCAGGGTCCTCACACGCACCGAGCGCTGGCAGCATATAACCCCCACTCCCTCCAACCTCCACTGGCTCCCGGTCAAGTCCCGCATCGCCTACAAACTCCTCCTCGTCACCTCCAAGTCTCCTCCGTGCCCTCTCCCCTCGGTCCCTCACAGATCTCCTCCACCCTTACACCCCCACGTCCCGCACCCTTCGATCTAGGGCTGCACGATATTGGAAAAAACTGACATTGCGATTTTATTCCCCCTGCGATATGAAAACATACAGGATTTGAAGAAAAGACCGTTTTGTTTCTTGAACTGTATAATGCTATACCATTGGTGTTTTTTAAACTATATTTAACCGGATGAAGGATTTCAGTCACGGACGTCTGGATCTGAAGTTATCAGAGCAACGAGCTGAGCTAGCTCGGTTAGCAGCGCCGAACTGCCTTTGATCTCCGGGTCCGTTTGCTTTTGAGATTTGATTGGTGGTTTGCTGTCACTCACTCAAGAACCCGTGACATGAGAGCCGCGCAAGTTTTCCTTTTGTAGCAAGCAGCAAAATAATTGTAACATGGCGTGTTTGAGTTAATTTGCCTACTTAATATCGCACGTCCTAAAAAAAAAAAGGTTTTTAAATGAATTAAAAGAATCGTACGTCCTGCATATCGCGATTATCGTCACGACACGATATACCGTGCAGCCCTACTTCGATCCTCAGACTCCGGCCTGCTCTCCATTCTCCATTCACGCCTCCGCACCTTCGGGGGCCGTGCCTTCAGTGTCGCTGCCCCCCCCCCCCCCCCTCTGGAACTCCCTCCCTGCTGCCGTAACGCCCCTTCTCTGAACCCCCCCTGCTATGTAACACTTCTGCCCCCTGTGTTACGTCTTGTCCTTAAATGTTTCTTGTTAAGCGACCTTGGGTTCATGAAAGGCGCTTTATCAATTAAAGTTATTATAATTATTTTGAACATGTGTCCTCTTTATCAAACTGTATTTAAACTCTCTGTTTGCAGCCGTCCCTCTGGACTGCAGAGGTTTTACTCGTTGTCCTACATGTGGTACAGCGCCTTCAGCTGCCTCACCGTCGTCTTCGTCGGACTCTTCATCAGCTTCCTCTCAGGTCAGGATATATCAGACACACACTTTATCTGCCCAAGAACATCTGATCTGATTTTACCACGTGTGCAATGTGGATGATATCTGACCCGCTCTATGGAAACCAGGCGGAAGTCTCGACGGCTCATTTCTAAATAAACGTGGATTTGGGTAAAAAACTAGTTTTTCGGGGTTCGGGTGTTTTGTTTGATTTTTAATAAACAAAGTCTTGGCTTTCAGAATATGAAACTTTTATTTCCAAAATCACACGATAAATAAATGTTTGAAGCTTTTAAAGGGACGAAGACAGCTCTCCCTCCACTCTGCTGTTCCACAGCGCCGCCCCCCCTCCCTCCACTCTGCTGTTCCGCCCCCCCTCCCTCCACTCTGCTGTTCCGCCCCCCCTCCCTCCACTCTGCTGTTCCGCCCCCCCTCCCTCCACTCTGCTGTTCCGCCCCCCCTCCTTCCACTCTGCTGTTCCGCCCCCCCTCCCTCCACTCTGCTGTTCCGCCCCCCTCCCTCCGCTGACATGATGAATGTAAGAGTATAGTAATCATAGAAAACACGGCAGGGTCCGTTACAGTTTGTTTTTATCTGGTTTCAAATAAACAAAGTCTTGGCTTTCAGAATATTAAACTTGTTTCGGCAAATTCAGAAGATAAATACAGCTTTGAAGCTTCGGCATAATTACAAGCGGAGAACGGAGTAACTTAACGTCACAGCAGGCAGAACAACAGCCGGGGTTTCTCATGAGGGGTTTCCCCGGGAAACAAACACAATACACACACACACACACACACACACACACACACACACACACACACACACACACACACACACACACACACACACACACACACACACACACACACACACACACACGAGCTTCCCCCAGACCAGTAATCAAAACGGAAATATCTTCCCTCCGTTGTATTTTGATCATTTGCTAACAACCAATCAGATCGATGGATTCCAGAGAGAGGAAACTTTGAAGGCCTTTTTCTCAAAGTGAGGACTCGTGACAGTCGTTATATAATGTGACATATTTTCTTAATATTTGGAGAACAACAACAACAATCCTGATATCATCAGAAAGCTAGGAGTCTCCTCTTTCAGTGCATACAACTCAAACTGTGTCTCCGGGTCAATGCGACTGTGCAACAACATGTTTTATGTGCAGCTTCATTTGTGCATTATGAATATTATGTGCAATCATTTGAATGTGTTCATTCTGTCCACGCTGTCTTGATAATGTGTACTTTATTATGTATTTGTACCTCTCTCTGCTTGTTGCTTCTGTAACTTTGCACACGTCCCTGCTCTGGGACCAATGCAGTATTATCTAATATGTTAAATGATAAATGTGTGCTCTGCGTGCAGGCCCTCTGAAGGAGGAGGACGTGACTCCAGGAACCGTTTATCCGTGTTTAGGGAAGCTGTTGTGTTTCCTTCCTGAACGTCTGAAGAAGAAACTCTGCTGCGTCACGCCGCTCGGACACTCGGTAAATAAAGATTCATTCAAAATGTAATAAAGGGTGAGCAGGGTGCTTTAACAGAGAGGCCAAGCCCCTCCCTTTCCGGGCAGCTCCATGGACCTTCTTTCAGAACAAGTCTGTATTGAAGTCAATGGAGAGAGAAAGATTATCTTTCCATCCCGTTTGAATTGAGCCACGAATTACACATATGATGTTTGTCATTTTAAAAGATGATTTTGAAAGTCAAAAAAATACAATTGTGTCGTAAAACTGTGAAGTAACACTGAAACCGCTCAATAACTACATCTCCCGTCTCGCTCCACACACCCAGACGGCCGTCACGTTGAAACATTTCACTCCTTTCTCTCAGAACGAGGCGGAAAGTATTAAACGAGGTGAAAATCACTCCAAGTCTGTGCACGTTGAGAGCTGTGCACACACCCAAGGGGAGTTAGTCGGTTCCTAAGAGCCAGCATGCGGGACCGGGACTCTGGGACTTGTAGTCTTTCTAGTTGCGTATTTTTCATAGTCTTTTATTTCAACAGTTTTACGACAAACTGTGACTTTTTTTACACGGAAATTATTTGTTAAGTTTGACAAACATCATGTGTGTAATTCGTGGCACAATTCAAACGGGATCGAGAGATAATCGTTCTCTCTTCATTGACTTCAATACATAAGGTCCCATGGGTCGGAAGTAGAAGGGCGGGACTTCGCCTCTATCGAGGTCGGGGGAAATCACAGATCAACTCACAGTTTGAGCTTTAAAGTGTATTTTCTCCAAAAGCAGCTGGAAGTCAAGAAATTGTGTGATTTGTTGAAAATAATCCGACAAAATGCCAGTTTGACATTTGTGTACAACTAATTTAAAGGGGACCTATCATGCAAAATGCACTTTTGTACGTCTTTTAAACATGAATATGTCCCCGGTGTTCCAGGGAACTCACCAAGTGTCAGAAAACACAACCCTCTCTATTTCCCTTCAAACCCACATCTCTTAGAAAGGGGCTGCAGCGGATCTGATACAGACTGATCCAGATTTGAAATATCTCTGACGTCACAGAAGTGGTGCTACGGCTATTGGGCCAACTCCACCAATCAGGAGGAGACAGCCACGGAAATGAGGAATGGCTAAAATGCATGATCTGTTTGGTATTTTGAAAAATAAAAAGTATAAATATGCCTTATAGGTTTGGCCCTACACTATATTATTCAAATATAGCATGATAGGTCCACTTTAAAATCAATGTCTTGTTAGAAATGAAATGTATACGTTAGTTCTGCAACCGGTTTTATTTCTGTATTTCTTATATTTGTTTATATTTATGATCAATGATTTGATATTTGTTATGAAGGACGATCTCACTCACGGTTGAGACCACAAAGGTTGTTCTTAAATAATGTTTAAACAAAACAATTCTTAAACTCGAACGTGAATTTTCAGAAAGGTTTTTAATAGGCTGTCAAACGATTACAGTTTTTAATCAGATTAATCACAGCTTAAAAATTAATTAATCATGATTAACCACCATTCGAACTATGTCCAAAATATGCCATTTATTTATGTATATTGTTGGGAATGGAAAGATAAATGAAAGAAGGTGGATATATCCATTTAACATACAGTATCTATGTTTATTATAACATTTTTCTGCGTGTCAAAATGAAAGACAGCCCACACACCTATCAATCATCAAACCGTGGGGTCTTAATTCATTACGTGTTGATTTCTATCAACGGGGGAGTACTTCAGGAAAGTCGACGGGGGGGGGGCGGCTAGTGGAGTATTCGTGACCACAGAGTGAACGTTGTGATCAGCTGTTTTAGCGCAGTTCTCCAGTGAAGGGGGGGAGTCTCCCTCCGCAGCCGGTTGGCGTAGTTTTGGCACAATTCCGTTGTACAGACCGACGTTAACAGCAGCCCTGTCTGTGCACACGGAGACCGACTCTGTCGTCCGGTGATCTAACCGCCTTCTGGAAAAGCTTCACAAGTACGTCGGTACGCAAATGCGCTTTGTGACACAAGTGACGGTACGCATTTCAGATTACGCACATAACCTGCGTACCAGTTATGTGCACCCCTGTACTACAGCAAAAGTATTCTCCGTCGGGACTTCCTGCAACAACACCACGCCGTTATCAAAGATGTTCTATTGAGAAGCAGTAGCGTGGGGTGGGGAAAAATGTAGGGGAAGCCAATGTTTTTGGGTCGGGGGGGGGGGGGGGGGGTGGTCAATAACGTAACCAGATGAGTGATTACAGCGCCCGGGTAACATTTTACACACATTTGTATCATACAGATGCAGGACTTGTACACGCCTGTTATCTAAGCGACAGGTCCGCATGCACTCTCCAGCTGAAACTCTCTCGTCTTATTAATTTAAGCATTTTCTTATTAATTTAAGCATTTTCTTATTAATTTAAGCATTTTCTTATTAATTTATGCCAACCTCCCCCCACCAATGCAATACCAGCCGCTCAATGCGCAGTGCAGATTCGGTAATTAATAAATAAGAAGCATTCATTCACAAACTAAATCAGGAGACCTTTAAAGTTTTACGTTCACATCAAAGTATCAGTATGCGTTGTGTTGATAATGGACGAGACCCGCCGAGTCAGCGTAAAGTTGAGACGATCTCTGTTTAATGTCTGAATCTGATAACAGATAAAATGATCAGTTTTACATACATTTCCCTCAGTGACTCCTCTCATTGCTTGGAACGTTTACAAAAAGGGAAGAGGAAACGTGAGGGACACAATATATACAAAAAGTAAAATCACAAAGAAAGGAAATTAAAGTCCTCACAACAATAAACTCCTGAGCACAGCTCTCCGACCTTGCCAGGTATTTAACATTCAATAAAATGAAGAACACAGAATACAATAATATAAAACACAGAATGTGTGTGATTATACAAAATTAAATTAAATAAACCCCACTGCATATTTACATCTGTTACACTAACACACACTGCAAGTGCAGCAACAGTCCTCGTCTCTGTAATTAGTTCAGACCGTAGTCCAAAAGTAACACAAAAATATAAACAATCTCATCTATTCAGGTGATCGGGCCCTATATGGCATGCTATCTGCGGTGCTGATTTTCGGATAGCAGCACCCTGTGCTAATTAAACAACTGCAATAAAACAACTACTTCAGACTGAACACCTGCAGCTAAATCCAGGCAATGCACAATAACCAACAGAACCACATCAGAAATTGCACACATAGCTACACGGGCAGTTCAGGCAACAGGTATGCACAGAGAGAAAGGGGTGTGCATTTCACTCACCCTATTTGAAGAGGAAGGCCATTCTCCTGTCTTTCATGGTAGCGAAGTGGTCAATAACAATGTCATAGAACTTCCCAGCGGCCTTTAGGTCCTCCACAACAACAGAGTCAATGGATATTGTGGCTAGGTTGACAAGTCTGTCCTGTCCACACGTGTTCCTCAGATACGTTTTGATCCTTTTTAGACAGGAAAAGGAGCGCTCTGCTGATGTGCTGGTGGCTGGTATCGTGAGCATGAGCTGGAGCAGCTTGTAGACCTCGGAGAGTGTGCCCTGTAGGTCATCCTCAATAAGAAGCTGTATCAGCTCTCCTGGTGGCTTGTGAAACAACCTGTTGTTGTACAGCGTGTGCAGCTCATTCCTTAACTTCTGCTCATCAAAGAATGGATACGTGTTGATCAGCTGAGCCAGCTCACTGCTGGGAAATGCATCAGGGTTGCAGAACGATGTGAATGATGTGTGTTCCAGTATCCGAAAAAAGTGCAGGTGCTCCATATCTGCAAATCTTTGGGTCATGTGCAACACTATGCCGTCAACAATCTGGAAGTAAAGACGCCGGAAAGACACAACCGTTTCCTCGTCTCCTTCTTGGTGCTGGTTAAACCCTTGCTCCAGGTCGTCCCAGCCGCGGCGACGTCGTTTACGTCGGGGCACAGGATCGCCGACTGCTTTGACCGTGTCATCGTAAATGCGACTGAATGTCTCATCTGTTCTTGTGGCTTTGAGAGCGCTGAGAGTGCTCATGATCCGATCCTGGCATTTTTTTATGTCCGCCGTCTTGCTTTGCAGAACCTGGAAGAGTGGTTCTGTGAGGCCGAAAATGGACTGAAAGACCCCGAGCAGGAAGGTGAAGTCAAAATCCTCAAGTTTTTGCTTCAAGGAAGCACTCTGTGCAATGGTCTCTTTGTCCCATCCCGGCTCTGTCATTATCCTGTCAAAAGCGATACAGAGCGACCCGCGTCCTTCATGGATGGCGTGTACTGCGCGGCTTTTAAAATTCCACCTCACAGCAGAACCCCCTGGTACACGCACAGCTCGATCAACTTCAGACAGTAGTGCTGATCTCTTACATGAACGTGAGAAAAAATTGTGGAAGGCATCGAGATTGGCAAAAAACAGTTTGGCTGCTTGGATGTTGTTTGTGCCTTATGCTAAAACCAAATTTAATTTGTGAGCATAGCAGTGGATGAATAGCGCATTGGGGCAGTGTGCTTTCACTAAAGCCTGAACGCCACCGTGCTGTCCACTCATGCAGCTTGCTCCGTCATAAGTCTGACAAATCAGTTTGTTTGTTGGGCTGTAGTTCCCGATGGCTCTCATGACAACTGATGTTACAGCTTTTGCATCTCTTTCTAAGCTGACATCAAAAAAGCCGAGGAAACGTTCACACACACTGCCTTTTTCATTCACATATCTGATTATGATAGTGAGTTGGCACTTATTGGAGATGTCTGATGTGTCATCCACTTGTACAGCAATGAAAGGAGAAATGTGTATTTCTTTATCAGTCTCATCCTGGATACAACGAGCTATGCTCTCAATTATGTCATTTTGTATGGTGTTTGACATACCACTGAAGACTGTTGACGATCCCAAGTGCTCCGCGAGTGCAGTGTCAAACTCTGCAAATGCACGTACCAGCTCTACAAAATTGCCCCTGTTAGAGCTGCCAGCGGCCTCATTGTGTCCCCTGAATGCTTGCTCTTGACGTGCAAGGTACAGGGCAGCAATGATGAGTTTCCTCAGAATATCCCGGTTCTTTTTTACTTGTTCGTTGTGCTTCTTTGTGCTAATGGTTCTTGCTACATCTAGAGCCTCGTCAATCCTGACGCGTCCAAAAAGCTTTAATTTCACAGCACAATCTATATGATTTTTAGATTTACCGTGCCTCTCAATTGCCCGTGACAGGTTGGCAAGGTCGATGAATCCTGAAGTTGCCCAAGGATTGTTCAGGGAGCACGAACCCTTGTCAAAAAGAAGACATGGCCAGCAAAATAGACGCTGAAGTTTAGCGCTTCCAGTTAGCCACTCCGTGCGGACATAATTGTCCTCATTGAACGTCCGATTAGATCCCTTATTCCTCTGTGTACACAGCTCGAGTGTGGGCGTTGTCCTGCCATCTGCTTTAATTTTTAGTTGCTGCTGTAGCGGAAGTTTAGTGAAGTTATGCTTAATTAAGTACGCCAAATCTCCTCCCTCCATAATGCTTCATTTGCTTGATCATTTCTAACGGCGGTGATGACAGTTACAGTATTCAAATTGATGTTGATGTGATTGGATGGCAGTGTCCAATCAAATCGCCAGCCGCCAGCCGCCCCTGAAGGGAAGCTAGAGGCGGCTGGCTTCCCCTGGCATGGCCCTGACCAATCACAGGTTGGCAGGGGCATCACGTGGGCCTCATCTGATTGGTTAATCCCTCAATTTTTTTTTCACCAAGGGAAGCTAGATTCTGCTGGCCTCCTCTCGCAACAGTGAATGCAATCTACTGTTTCACCATGACATCTAGAGGGGCGCTGTTTCACTCTTTGTAAAATACTCAATGAGAATGGGGGAGAGACGGAGAGACGGTCCGGCAGGAACACACAGGAAAGTAGAATTACAGAAACAAAACAAAGTGTTTTTATTTATTTATTTAAGTTATAACTACAATCCGAAAAAACAGGGGAAGCCTGGCTTCCCTTGGCCTCCGGGAGAAAACGCCACTGTTGAGAAGACGATCACTACGTGACAAAAGTTTTCAAAACCGTGGCTACTGAAATCAATCTTACTATCTGCTGTCTGTGCAATTTACTCCGCGCGAGTTGGCAGACTTTATTTTGCTTCCTTTAACATCATTTTTCATGGTGAGGCTGCTAAGCCATTTCTTGGTATGAGTGTAGCCTACCCCAGCCATACCCTGGCGCTGCCACTGGTGGCACGTATGGGGCGGGCCATTCTGCACATGCGTTAAATGCGTTAAATATTTTAACGCAATTAATTCAAATAATTAATTACCGCCGTTAACGCGATAATTTTGACAGCACTAGTTTTTAATTATTGTTTTGATTTAAGGTTTAATTTCCTCAGTGTTCTTGTAGTTCATTAAACACACGTACATATTTCCTTTTGTTCTGACGATCTATTCAGAGTCTTATTGGTTCCTTCCGGTGGGACTTCAGAGGTCGTTCTTTAAATAATCTTTGAATAACATGTTTTTGTTTAATAGTGAAACGTGTGCATTTTAAATTCAGTTTATTGACGTAACGTTTATTTACCTCAGTGTTACATCTTTTTCCAATTGATTCTGATCTTCCTTCCGCCTTTCTTCTTCAAGAGCCTTGGAGTGATTCATTTTCCAATTGTATGAAATGTTTCCTTTCATCCTTGCAGCTCTCGGCGCCTCAGAAGGAGTCGGAGGACAGAGAATCTCCGGAGGCTCAGACTCTGCTGGTGGAGGACGAGACGAACGTGTGAAATAACCGTTAACTATCCAGAGACACAAAGCACTGAAGAGACTTGAATACAGATCATCTCTCAATCCTCTGGACAAGTCGGCACCTTTTCGACTGCACAGTGACGACTGCTACTGGAGGCCGTCTCGTGATTTAGAGACTGCATCGTGTGTTCCTGCTGACTCTTCCCTGCTTTGAGCCCTCTGACGGTTATCCCGAAGCAAGGAGCTCCCTGCAGTCCAACAGGCGGTAAACCAACTGTTCCTCATGACCATATCCAAACCATCCGGTCCACTGAGTGTCCTTATATCACCTCGTGAACCTTCTCTCTTCCTGTGGGTCTTGTGTTTGAGGCAGAATGTGACGTCGTTTCCAATCGTCTTCATTGTAGAGTTTTAGGGACTTTAGGGGCGATCACAGAAATGTTTGTTCTAACGCTTTTCAAAGAGACCGAGGTTCTGCCTGTCGCAAAACTTGCACCGCATTTGTTAAAATAATTGTGCAAATTAAAACTTATTTGGAAGAAAACATAAATGATAGCGTTCAAACATCCGGCCAATATCCTGAGCCCTAAATTAATTACATTTGATAATGTATTGCTATTTTTTGAGTGTGTGCACTCCCTATTTTCTCTCAAGGCATGCACTAAAACCAGAGCAACGAACGCTCAATCAAAAATAATCCAGAAGGACCTTCGAGCAAATATTCTTTAACGGTTGATTCTCTGTCTTTTTTAAAGTGTCTGAGATCTTGTTTGTATTTGATTACAGTTCATGTGGAGAAAACACGTCACTGTTTTTACTCGATTTCTTGCGATTTCCTGTGAACTTTAAATGTTGTATTCCGTGACTCAGACGACAGTGCCTCTTTTTCAATCATTTTCTAATCGTTTCTTAGAATGAACGAGTGAATCTTTCTGTTTTGCAGCTTAAAAAACACTGGAAAAACCTCTATTTTGAGTTTGTAGATATTTGTTGACGCCTTGTTGATTAGAATTGTTTCCAATCCCATTATCCGGTTAATTTCACTTCTTTTGTGATTCGTAGAGATTGATTATTGTCTGTTGAAGATGCTTTGTTTACAGTAAATGAAACCAACCAACAGTAAACTGCGTTGTGTAATAAATAAATAATGAAACACTGAGACGCATTTTTCATCCATGTCGTGCTGTCGTCCACTTCTGTGCGACTCGGGCAGGGGTCTGCAACCTGCGGCTCTCAAGCCCTCTGCTCTGGCTCCTTGAGCTCAGACAAAAATAAGAAGGAAATCAAATACAAATATTTATATTTTGTTGCGCGGTTGAAAATGTTTCGTATCTTGTATTTTGAGGAGATACTGTGACAATAAAATAAACGGTTTTAATTAGGTCAACTGAAATGCGTCACATCCTGCTACGGTCCCGCGCCAGGCGAATGACCTGACCCCCGGCTCGATGAGGGAACTATGGATACATCAAAGAAAAGTATGGGAGGAACACAGAGGGTTTCATTCCGCGTGGTTGGAGTTATCTGCTTCCACAGCAAAGGATGCTGGCTCACCGGATGTTGGATCTGTGCAGAGGAGTTGTCTAAGGTGCTGCAGCTTCATCATAACTCAATCCGTTAACTCTTTTTAGGGTTGTTGGAGCAATGAGTGGTCTGAAACCCACCTCGGCTCCGCGTGTCCTTTGGTGAGCTGGTCAGATTTATAAAAGAAGGAATTCAAAGCACCGGGAGAAAGGTTAAACAATAATCTGTTTAATGGTAAAAGAACAACAATACAAGTTTAAAGGGGCGCCCCTGCTCTGGTCCCAGTGCGGGGAGATCTTACTGTCTTGACGGCAGGAGGAAAAGAGACCGGACAAAGCTCACAACAGGATACACGTAAGAACAACGGGGAGGAGTTGTGTCGGATGCTCCTCCCATAGGGCCCATCCATTGGGAGATATACAAACGATAGCCTGTCGCAGCGAATCAGCGCGAGCCAGCCGAGATGAACCTGAAATAAGAGTCTCTTGAGTTTGAGGTATTTCTGCATAGACTTCCTTCTCTCCGGCCCCCTCCCCCATCAGTTCAATACACACACAGTTTCACATACTTTAGGTATCTTAAAGATATGTTTACGACATAGCTGTTTATAGTTGGCCAATACAAGTAATACATATGAGTTACTTTAATATCACACACATATTTTAGACATGTATCGTTCCAGATTCTTGACATGCTGTGTTTAAATAAGGATGTCTCCTCTCCCACCTCTCTAGTCTCCTGTCATGCTAAACTGCTCCTCCTTCACACAGAGTCATTAAACACATTTAAGCCAACTACTTCACAATGTTGTGGCAATTTAGTACTCACAACATGAAAGAATAAGACGGAGAGAAATCAATAAAACACAAACACAGGTATAGTTGAGCAGTAATTATACAGCATATATAGCCGCTGCAATGAACACACACACATCTTACCATGCAGCATTCCAGAGGCTTGAGCTGTGTCCAAATAAGGACATCTCATCTCTCACATCTCCACTACTCCTAATAGAAATGTTTCACTTCTCATATTTCCAGCTTCTTGTTATACAGACTGCTACTATTTAATACAAAGTAATTAAGTACACACATGAATATATAAAAACACAGGTGACATAATAAAATGAATATACCAGAAATACGCTGTATTAAACGTTCTGCTATAACACGTTACTTCAGGGTGCAGCTATATGTTTTATTTATTTCAAAGTGGGTCCATTTGAATTATATTCATTTTCTTCAAATGTGCAGAGGACTCCCCAAGTGCTGATTCATTTTGAAGTAGGCCTGTGTCTTTTTATTAATTCTCCTTATACGAGTTCTTTGTTTCTAATTAGAGGTAACCAGTTTTCTAGAGTGTCCATCCATCCATCTTCTCCGCTTATCCGTGGTCGGGTCGCGGGGGTAGCAGTTCCAGCAGAGAGCCCCAAACTTTATTTTCCCTGGCGACATCAACCAGCTCTGACTGGGGGATCCCAAGGCGCTCCCAGGCCAGCGAAGAGATATAATCCCTCCACCTGGTCCTAGGTCTACCCCTTGGTCTCCTCCCAGCTGGACGTGCCTGGAACACCTCCATAGGGAGGCGCCCAGGTGGCATCCTAACTAGGTGCCCGAACCACCTCAACTGGCTCCTTTCGACGCGAAGGAGGAGCGGCTCAACTCCGAGTCCCTCCCTGATGACCGAACTTCTCACCTTATCCCTAAGGGAGACGCCAGCCACCCTGCAGGAGAGGAGGAAAGGAGGGGAGGAGGAGGAGGGGAGGAGCAGGAGAGAAGTAGGAGAGAAGTAGGAGGAGGGGAGTAGGAGGAGGAGGAGAGGAGGAGGAGGAGGGGAGGAGGAGAGGAGGAGAGGAGGAGGAGAGGAGAGGAGAGGAGGAGGGGAGTAGGGGGAGGAGAGGAGGAGGAGGAGAGGAGGAGGAGGAGGAGGAGGAGGAGGAGGAGAGGAGAGGAGGAGGGGGGAGGAGAGGAGAGGAGGAGGGGGAGGAGAGGAGGAGAGGAGGAGGAGAGGAGAGGAGGAGGGGAGGAGGAGGGAGGAGAGGAGGAGGAGGAGGAGGAGGAGGAGGAGGAGGAGAGGAGAGGGGGAGGAGAGGAGGAGGAGAGGAGGAGGAGGAGGAGCAGGAGAGGAGGAGGAACAGGTTGACTTCATGGACGCTGCTTTTTGTAAATCTTTATTGAACTTGATGACGATCACAGTCTTTAACACGTTGCTTCAAGAAAACTTTATTACAGACACAATCAGTGAGACACACGGTAACCAATGAGAATTCTCCATTTAAAACACCAACATGTAACCCCAGGACAGGAAGTGGTCTCCTCCAGGACAGGAAGTGGTCTCCTCCAGGACAGGAAGTGGTCTCCTCCTACAGAGGACACAGAGACGCTGAGGAGTCTAAGAACCAGAGCGCAAACCCAGCACAGAGAGGTTCAGTGAATGTGGCTCTGAAGGTGTGGAGGTGGATCAGTGAGTTATAGGAGACTCTGTAGAAGGAGAGAGAGCCAGCAGGATGATCCAGATACACTGCTACTCTACCATAGGAGGAGGAGGAGGAGAAGGAGGAGGAGGAGGAGGAGGAGGAGGAGGAAGAGGAGTAGAAGTAGGAGGAGGAGATGTTTGTTTCTCTCTGATTGTGACATACAGAGTAACCTCCATCACGAGAGCAGTCCAGACTCCAGGACTGATCATTCTCTCCGAACAAACAGTCCTCACTGTTTCCTCTCCTGCTGATTCCTCTGTAAGTCACTGCTATATGAACCCCTCTTCTCCACTCGACCTCCCAGTAGCAGCGACCAGTCAGAGCTTCTCTGCACATCAGCTGAGGCCAGGACTCAAACCTCTCTGGATGATCAGGATATGGCTCCTCCTCCTCCACACGTGTCACCGTCCTGTTGTCCTCAGACAGTCTGAGGTGTCTCTCTGCTGTGTTTGAGTCCATGGGTGAGTCCACAGGAATCTGAGGAGAGACACAGACAGCAGTTTATCCTCAGACCCACCTGAAGGCTTTCCTCTCTGTTAGTGGTCTTTCTCTAAAGCTTCAAGGTCAGTCATGTTCTAATGAATACCACCTCCATCATCTGTGTCTGGAGAGAAGCTGATCCACACTTACACTTCCTCACACCTGCTCTGATCCTCTGCTCTCCACCATGCTCCAGCCTGGAGGAGGACACATGTGAGAAACAGAACAGCATATTGTTAGAATAAAGTATTTATCAATGTTCATCATAATAATGAATCCTATGTGTCCGAAGGGAGCAGGAGGAAGCATGCTTATTGATCCCCTACTTACTGCTGATCAGTGATTATCCTTTCAATCATGTCTGCAAGTTATTCCTACTCACATATTTACATTTATACATTTACAATCACTTGTCCTCTTCAATCTCCTTCATCCTCACACTTCTCCAAAGAAGTGTTTCTGTGCATCCTTCAAAGTGAATGCTATGTGTGCTTAGTCTGAACTCCTGCTCCAAAGCGCTCCATGAACCCCCCACAGAGTATCACTCAGAGTACTTCATGATGTGAGAGTATCAATCAGAGTACTTCATGATGTGAGAGTATCACTCAGAGTACTTCATGATGTGAGAGTATCACTCAGAGTACATCATGATGTGAGAGTATCACTCAGAGTACATCATGATGTGAGAGTACCACTCAGAGTACATCATGATGTGAGAGTATCACTCAGAGTACATCATGATGTGAGAGTATCACTCAGAGTACATCATGATGTGAGAGTATCACACAGAGTATATCATGATGTGAGAGTACCACTCAGAGTATATCATGATGTGAGAGTATCACTCAGAGTATATCATGATGTGAGAGTACCACTCAGAGTATATCATGATGTGAGAGTACCACTCAGAGTATATCATGATGTGAGAGTACCACTCAGAGTATATCATGATGTGAGAGTACCACTCAGAGTATATCATGATGTGAGAGTATCACACAGAGTATATCATGATGTGAGAGTACCACTCAGAGTATATCATGATGTGAGAGTATCACTCAGAGTACTTCATGACGTGAGAGTATCACTCAGAGTACATCATGATGTGAGAGTATCACACAGAGTATATCATGATGTGAGAGTACCACTCAGAGTACTTCATGATGTGAGAGTACCACTCAGAGTACATCATGATGTGAGAGTATCACTCAGAGTAGTTCATGATGTGAGAGTATCACTCAGAGTACATCATGATGTGAGAGTATCACTCAGAGTACATCATGATGTGAGAGTATCACTCAGAGTACATCATGATGTGAGAGTATCACACAGAGTATATCATGATGTGAGAGTACCACTCAGAGTATATCATGATGTGAGAGTATCACTCAGAGTATATCATGATGTGAGAGTACCACTCAGAGTATATCATGATGTGAGAGTATCACACAGAGTATATCATGATGTGAGAGTACCACTCAGAGTATATCATGATGTGAGAGTATCACTCAGAGTACTTCATGACGTGAGAGTATCACTCAGAGTACTTCATGATGTGAGAGTATCACTCAGAGTACATCATGATGTGAGAGTATCACACAGAGTATATCATGATGTGAGAGTACCACTCAGAGTACTTCATGATGTGAGAGTATCACTCAGAGTACATCATGATGTGAGAG